TATATATATATATATATATATATATATATTACTTGTTATAAATCATTCTTGTGAAGGTAGATTCATACGATTTTTATTATTATTATATTATTTATCATGTGACGTCTTGAATAGTAATAAAATTAATTGTAATTAACAACTATTTTCGATACTTACCTATTGTTGAGTTTTTTCGCAAACAAACTATGTCTACTATAATATAAAATTGAAGTATAAATTGTCGATTTATAAGGACTTGAATCATATTTTATAATTCTTAATATCTTAATTAAAAATTATAAAAGAAAGATTTGCAATTGAATATGAATACATTGTTTTGTATTTTAATATTGATCAATAAGTAAACTAATAATAAAAGACATGTGTATATTTGAAAGATAACAGTAAGAGAAACTGTTGAGAATAAATTTTACCTATCTTACTCCTCTGGTTTCTTAAGATTATCAATATAAGTGTGAGACCCGCTCTTATTTTTTTCCCCCTCTTCCCTATACTCATTTCTCATTCCCATTCTCTCATTCACTCATTCTTCCTCAAACTCTTCCTACTCGTTTGCTGATTCTTCCTTCTTGGGTGAGTTTAGGTGCTGAGTAGTTGGATTGCTAGTTGGGGTGTGCGGATTTCTTCCTTCTCCGTCCTCCATTTCTTTCAAGCTTTTCCTTCTCCATTCTCTTTTGCCCGGGGCTCGAAATCTTTGCCCGAGGTAAGGGAAGCTAGTTACTTTGTTGTGTTTGGCTGTGAGTGAGTTCAGAAACTCATTTGTTATTTGATGATTGCTGGATTTCGAGTTGAGATTGCTGAAAATGGGTTGTTGGGGGGAGGGTTTCGAAGTTTGGATAAATTTTTGGAGTTTTGATGAGTTTGTGATTGCATGTTGATAATGGAACGTTTTGTTGATGTTTGATGAAAGAGGAAGCTTTTGGATGGTTTACATGTTGGATTGCTGGTTGTTTTTGCAGGATTTGGTTAAGTTTTTCGAAAATGGAGTGTTGCTGCTGAGTTTCGCGCTGAGCGCATTTCATTGCGCTGGGTGTGTGGCCACCAGGAGACCCCATTTGGCCAAGCTCGCCGGGCGCAATGATGAGTGCGCTGGGCGCACTTGAGAATGTGGGTCTCTGGTTGGCCTGCGTTGGGCGTGACTTGGATCGCGTTGGGCGCGATACCTGTTGTAACTTGATTTTGGGTTCTTAAGGCTGCTTGTCGTGTTGGGCGTGAGACTCATGGAGAGTCTCTGCCTTAAAGGCGCTGGGCACAATTCATATTACGCTGGGCATGAGACCTTGGGGAGGTCTCTGCCTTCCCCGCGCTGGGCGTGGGTTTGGGCACGCCGGGCGGGTGAGGCTCCTTAGAGTCTCTGCCTGGCATGCGCTGGGCGCAATTGGTTATTGCGCCAGGCGCGTGAGAGCCTTGGGCTCTCTGGTTGAGTCCCGCCGGGCGCGGGCATGCTTGCGCTGGGCGCACTGGCCCCCTAGTGCTCTCGGGTTGCACTGTGCTAGGCGCAACCACAAGTGCGCCGGGCGCGGAGACGAGATTTTACCATATGCTGGTTAATGTTGTTTATGCTAAGTTGAGTTGAAATGGATGAATATGATGTGGTGACTATTAGATAATGATGTTGATGATGTTGAGCTGTATCAGACGAATATTGTTGTAAAATGCGTTCATGTGTTGTAAGATGATGTGTTGTGTTGTGTTGTATGTTGGCTGAGTTGTTGTAGGCCGCAAGACTGGGTTATTGTAGGCCGCAAGGCTGAGTTATTGTAGGCCGAAAGGCTGAGTTGTTGTAGGAGATCTCCGAGTTGATATGCGTGACGACGCATTGTATGCTTATTGATGATCATGTTGAAAAATTGACGGGATGTATGTTGATGAAGTGTTGATAGTTGTAATTGTTCTTATTACTTAAATCTTTCCTATATGTTGTTCTTTATATGCTAGCTTACCCTTCCATGTACTTGGACTGCGATGATCATACTTGTATGGGAGCAGAGCAGGGATAGGTGGTGGCCAGTGGTGAGTCTGTAGCTAGTAGGCGGGGCTGACTCTTGTTGATGTTTCGTTTTGTTTCAGCTGCTTGGCATAGTGACTTTAGATGTATTTTTGTATTGTACACCCTAACTCTAGTCGGATTGGGACATTTGTATATATTTATATTCTAGATTCTATATTTATATACTCGTTCTATTCTGTCTAGTGTTTCCGGTGTGCGGTGGTTGTGAGTGTAGTGGCCTGGCGGGTCGTTACAATAAGATTTCTATCATTCATTGTTATTGAATTCTTTAAGTCAATCTAAATCATTTCTTTGTCTCTAGAATTTCTAAGAATACTAATTTAATAATTGATTCTTCAGTTTACTAAATTAGAGTCTTTGTATTAAGTTCAAAATTTTGTTCAAATAAGGACTCTAAATGTATTCCTAACCTTTAGAGTCATTGATTTGGTTCAAAAACAAATTTAGAAAATATTTTTCAATCAAAGACTAACAGATGAGTGATCAGTTCACTTTAAGTATTAAAAACATAATCAAATCACTAACATTGAATAACAGATGATATATATATATATATATATATATATATATATATATATATAGAGAGAGAGAGAGAGAGAGAGAGAGAGAGAGAGAGAGAGGGGGGAC